GGAACTTATTTTTACCGAGTTTGTTTATTCTGGAAGGTGACGACGTCCTCTCAAATCGAGACGGGGGGCCTCGAGTAAAAAGTGGGGGGGCCAAAGCACATGGTTGGCCCCCCCACCTCAAAAAGTGGGTGGGCACTTGCCCACCTGGCCCCCCCCCGGTTCCTACGCCTATGATCAAATGGGCATTGAGTTGTTAGTGACTGAAGTGAAAAGATGTTTGATTAACACAATCGAAAAAGTAAGACCAGTATAACGCCTTTTGGGGCGACTAACGGAGCGAGCGAGAGGGTGGGCCTTGCACGTGCGAAATTGCGAGAGGGTACCTCCGACTGACTTGTGCACGGCACCCTACTAACTGGTCTCTAGCGATGTGCCAAATTTGGGCACAATCGGCCCAGCCGTTCTCGAGATCTGGAAGCGGCACACTGCACGTGCGCACGTGCAAAATGGGTCCCAACTGACTTGTGCACGGCACCCTACTAACCGGTCCCTAACCGTGTACCAAATTTGAGCGCAATCGGTCCAGCCGTTCTCGAGATCTGGAAACGACCCCTGCACGTGCGCACGTGCAGCAGCACCCCAACTCTGGCACATGTATATGCAGTGCCTAGTGGGTGCCTACCTACATGCCAACTTTCAGCGCAATCGGCCAAGTAGTTACCGAGATATTGCAACAATTACAAAAGTGACACCTCTTCGTTTTGCACGTGGCACGTGCATAAGGGGTCACCCACATGCATCGGTAATAGTCCAATACTTGGTAGAAGGAATGAAGCTACCCTACAAAAATTACCGCGTGTAAATCGGTCAAGTGGTTTGCCGAGATATAAGCCTCGCAAAAGCGTGACCACGGCCGGCCGGCCGGCCGCTCATACTCAGAAATTTCCGTTAATCTAAGGAAAGACTACGCTCGCTTCGCTCGCTCCGTAATAAAAACATTACAAACACTATTAGCAATACTCTTCTGAACAACTTGAATAATGAATTAAACAAACGATTCAGGCGTTTGTATTTTCACATTTTTATCGCTGCACTGTGGTGAAGTTAGGTGAAATATTTTAAAAGTTCAAGCTACTCAATGTCAGTAACCTACATCCAAAGTTCAAGTTAAAATACGGGTTGCGAATCAAAAGCCCTTGTTACAGCGTTGGAATTTTGTGTTCGCTGATATGCACGACCGAGACAGCTCAAACGAAGCTATTCCACCACGATTCCAGCTTTTTAGCAGCCACAAACGGCGCTTCTGAGCTCTGCCATCAACCACGTACAAAAATTGGACCCACTGCTGGCGTCCATTACCAGTCAATTACCAGAGTGAATCCTGGACTTAACTGTTCATAATCCCGATATGATTGTGGCCAATCACTTCTGCACCATGACCCACTGTGCGGTCCGCACGCCAAATCCCCACAATCGCCAGAGTCGAATGACCTCCGGTCGCCAGTAATGGTTTTCTGATCGCCGATATTATTATCGATGCGAATTGCGCAATGCTAGACGTTCTTGGGCTAGGAAAAGAGACGATGATGCGGGAAATATCCACGTAATGCATGACTCATGAGGTGCATGATGCCTGGTATGATCATTTCGTATTATGATATCGAATATCATCATCACGATTATAGTACTACATTTTATGCTCGTCATTCCCACAGAGATCTTATTCCCATAGAGATCTTATGTGCATGGTTATTCCAGGCTTATGTGATCTTAAAGAATACTATAATGGATTTTTGCTTTTTAAGTTATTACTTTCATTTAACCCTCGCCCGCACATGCCATTTTCCCATCCTAGAACGCACATGGGGGGGGGGGGGGGTGGTTGCCACCCCCCCCGCGCCATTTCGTTCCTGTTGGAGATAGAGCTTAGCAGTAAAGACCAAAAAGATTCTTTGGGAAGAGACGAATCCAATGATACCCAGTTTTACCTTCTCAGGTCAGTCATTGACCTTCCAGGTCAGGTCAAACTAAAAAATGTTGCTGTTTTGGGTCACCGTTGGATATCAAGTGCGCTGCTTATCAAATACCGATGACGATGCTGTTTTCTGGTGCCAAGCCAGCTAGAACCTCTTTGTCACACTATCCGACCAGAATTTTGCTGCTGAGGTCATTTCAGGTCATGTTAGGTCAAGGTCAATTATATGTGTTTGTATGTCTGTGTGTGTCTGTGTGTATGCTGATGTGTGCACCGATTGTTTTTGGGTCCATATCACATGAAATCATGATCTGAGAAGCCTTTACCAAAAATGCAGTCAAAAAACTTCACAAAAAGTAAATTCAGCTTGCCTAAAACGCAATTATCTTAGATGACCTAGGTTGACCTTGACCCTGACCTTGACCCCTGTACATCGTCGAACAACATGTTCCATGATAGGTGGGAGGTAAGACTGGCAAAAAAGGCCGAAATCAGGGTGTCAAAAGCTCACAAGGCCCATGGCAAACGCAAGATGTTGAGAATTGGCCATTTGGGTCATGACATGACCTGAAAAACAAGGTCATATCTCCGAAACAAAAAATCACAGAAACTTGAAATTTTCAGTGGACATCAAGAAAGGATAGACGAGCAGCTATACGAAAAATCAGCCTTCTAGCTCTAAAAATGTTGAGTGCAGAGCAGAAAGACTGCCTGGGGGGGGTGGCAACCACCCCCCCATGTGCGGGCGAGGGTTAATAAGAAATGAATGACGCAAGCTTACTTTGTTTTGGTCATATTTGCAAAAATGTAACATGAGGCTTAACTTCAGTGTTCACCAATTAATTCGGATACCGTTACTGCGCAAACAAAACGTTAGGAAATTTTGGGACCAGTTGTTTGTGTTGAAAAGAAATATTGAAATATCGAATGAAAACAGCAATTGAGCTTATCATACAATATCAAGCATACTTTTTACTTTTTCAAAAGTTCAGAAGCACGATACATTAGAATTGCGTTAGGATGTGTTCTTTTTAACAAAGATACGTGCTGTTTAATTTCGGCCAGCGATTTCTTTGTCCATTTACGACTAGACGATGCGGACTTATCAGCTTGAACCATCGCCCTCCCAGTTCTAATGATGCTCCAATTTGAAATGCATTCAGAACGATTTTATGGTTTCTTGGTTGAGTGGCCTCAAAGAGCCGCTCGCGTAGTTATTAATGCATCCTTGAAAATGTGTCCCGGGCTTCGTTATGATAATGAAGGAAAGCTAAGCAAATTGTGGTGTGGAATTAGCCCATAGGGCTGTAGAAGTGCAACAGGTGGTAGGCGCTACCAGCAGAAATTCGAAGTGAGGAAACCATCACCCTCTCATTATCCATAGCTCAATAAGTTCGACTTTGATTGAATCTCGAATACTTGAACGAAGAAATATTCAGCGAAACAAAATATTATTAGGAGGCAGGAGCTTCCATGATGTTTCATGATTGCTCCTTGCAGCAAATTTAATTAGCCCCAGAATGCAATATCGCCTCAATTTTATCCTAATAACAGCGCAATGAGACTTCTTCAGTGCGTACCTAAAACAGTTGCGGATTTCTTGAAAACATAAGGATTCGAACAGTTTCCGACCGACATATATAAACCTCGTTAACTGTGGAATGTGCTGTCGGGTCTCGGATATCATAGCTGGCGCAGAGATCTAAATTTACCCGTTTCTGGTAGGCGGAGGCTGCATATGAAACTCCCGGTCCGGTTCAATGGAGCGGCACAGGCCAGTCGCTGTGTGTCGCGTGCAGATTCTGACAGCCCGGAGAGGCCGGCTGAATCGGATCTGAGGTTCTGCAGAGCATGGACCGGCTTCTTTTTACATATCCCGCTTATCTGGATGCAGCATCCCGATCCAGTCAGTTTCCAAATGCACCATGCCCCGTCACTCTCCAACAATCGGGTGTCCCGACATCCCCCAAACATTTCCGCTTCCCACCCCCTCCAACCATCCCGCATCCTTCAGTCTTCACTCTGAACTCTACAGCCAGCCCCGTGTTCGTCTACTTGCCAAACACCTCTGGGTTCACACCCTTGATGGCCAGAAAGTCCCTTGCGCAATAATACCTACCTAGATAAATTGCAGCTTACTTAGATTCTGTTGCTCTAGACACCGACCTCAAACGCTACCTCGACAACTTATCTTTAACTTTTGCCAAGCACCCGTAGGTTTACGTTATGAGCTGGTGCAAGAGAATTTATAGCCATAGGCTAGCTAACTACGAAAATATAGTAGTTTGCGGTTTCTTCTTAGCTAGGTATTTTGGTGCAAGAGGCCTCAGGTCGCGTTGCAGGCCGACCTTAGAGCCGATGGCGACCTCGCGTGCATCAGGTCGACGCCCGACGTTGGCGGCGTCTGTCGCAACCGACGCCAGACCGGTGATTGTGCCGTGTTTTGCCCGTAAACGTCGATAGCAGAGCGATGTCATCGGCCCTAAATGGCAGTCTGTAAGGCGCCAGGGGACATTATCAAGTGGGGAATTGGTTAGAGTTGTTTGAACATGATGAGGCTAGTGTGTGCTCGACAGTAATAATGATGCACAGTTATGTTTAGCTTGATCAAGTTTGCTCATGAGACATTAACGTTTCATGGTTCGGGCAGAATGATGCGTTGTTATTTTAGGCCATTGTGAACAATGCAAAAGTTTGTCTCGTGTGTTGTCGGAAACGGTCACATAAGCTACGAATACCATGAATAAACAAGCCGAAATTAAGGCCAATGATAGCCTACACAGAAACTGCATCCGGTTGTCGTCAAACGTATTTATGGTGTTGTGCCATACATTTTGGTACCCAAAATAGGTATCACTCGTGGTAGTTTGTATCGCGTTCAAGTGAAAAGCAACGTTTTTAGGCATAATGTGCCATTAAGCTGTGCAAATGTATGCGTATTGTTTCTTATCGCATGTTGAAGTAAAATTTTCCTGCCTTTCAGCGAAATGCTTTGCTGAACCGAACTAACTTATACGTAATAACACAGCACTTATTGGTGTTATTTTGTAAGCAAACAACACATTTCACTATGTTCCATTTCCAGGCACTCTGAATGGAATCTGTTCATCATTCGGCGGCATCCCAAAGGCGGCTACATGAGCCCCAGCCTCGTGGCGCGGGGACCCTTCTGTAACTACTACGTCCACGAAAACCACGACGAGGGCATCATGGTCGAAACTGACGTACCGGTAAAAGAGGTGAGTGTCATTTGATCATTGATTAGAGTAGACTGGCCATTGAACCAATGTAAAGTGTATATACGTACGTAAGAACGCCACTACACTGCAGTCATGAAACAAAGATGGACGACACGACTCTACCGTATACACTTACACAAACAGCATACACTTACTTTAGAGTTATAGTGCAGCTGAATGCTACCGAGTTTAGTGTTTGGAATATTCCTGATATTTGCACGTGATCGATAGGCCGTTTATTGCTTGAGACCGAAACAAGCTGTCGATGATACGCCAGGGGCGGTCCAATGTCTCAATGAGGCATACCAGATCAAAGGCATACTGCTCGCAACAGTCTTTCCGCCGATCTTCATTGCCGTCTTCTCCGTATACCAGCGCGAAACTTGCGCTATAGTTTTGGGATCATCAAATACCGACCTCTGTTTTTCTGTCGGCTCAATTACGAAAAGTTCCGAAATTTCGGGCAGGAGTTCGGTCATCTGGTCTCGCGTGATGTCACTGAAGCCCGCTTCAAAGTCTTGAAGAGAGCCCACTTGGCTTATAGTTGAGGGTAAGGGCTATCAGGAATTGGCGAATTCATTGGATACCGCGACCTATCGAGGCTCTCGAGAAGTCAAGAAGCGTAACTGAAAAAAAACAAGTGATGAATCTTTGTTTTATATTACTTGGATTATTTTGAAAACAATCAGGATTATGCAATGCACAATGCACATACTATCTCAAAGCCTTGGCAGGCATGCTGAGCTGAAGCTATTTTTTTTTTAAAATCAAACTACCTATATTCAGTCGGTAAGACGTTGCCAAATAGACACATACTGATCAAAGTTACATGCACACAAACGCAGTCATCACAATCAACCCCAAAAAATGATTTGAAAGTATCAAAGAGAATACCGTAAAGATTACTGACTGATACTGATATCCATTAGAATACCGTAAAGACCAACTGACTCTCCTTTGGCCTTTTCGACGACGCTCCGTTTTAGTTCACTTCCTCCTCTCATCCATTTCGGTTCTTTTCGTCCTCTGGTTTTCCAGTGACCGCGGTGGAGTGGCGAGCCCTGTTTTCAGTGCAGAAAGGCTCCCAACCTCCTATATTAGGATCAGGGGGATTCGCGCCCGTCGAGGCTGCGTAGAGTGCTAATGTGAGAGCACCAGTGAAAAGGTGGGACCAGAGCTGGGCTCGTGGTCGCCAGGACTTAATGCAGAAGGGTCGAACAAAATGAGGAGCTTTATTGTGAAGCACAAATCTGTCATCTAGTTAGTAAGTCGCCAGAGCATTCGACGAAAGTTATCAAATAATCCTTTTGGTCATTACGCTGTATAAAAAAGAAACACAAAAAATGCATTCACGATGGTAAAAATATGTAACTTCACATTGATGCATTGCTTATTTAAATCGTGAAATGAATCGTGTTGAGCGGAAGTTGGTTCCTACTTCAGTACTCCCAAGGCATCAATGCAAAAATAGTTTGTCGTATTTGGTTAGCACTTAACCCGCGCCCCGCTGGGCTATTCAGCCATACGCGCCCTGCTGGGGGGGGGGGGGGGGGCAGATTCTGCCCCCCCTGTCTAACTTCCGAACCGATGGTCGTAGAAAGACGGGGAAAACGGCAATCGAAAGCTCTCAACAAGACGGATCTTAAGAGCCCAAATTTTTTTGCTTAAGTAGGTCAGAGGTCAGGTCAAGGTCAGGTCAAGGGTACAAAATGCAAGTTTCTACAGTATCGGCCTTGCACCGTAGTTGCCGAAGAATGGACTGAGCCTGATTGCCCAAAACGTGTCCTTAGACTACCAAGACAATATTCGTTGCATACAAAGTCATTCAAAGGTCAAGGTCAAGGTCAGGTCAGGTCAGGTCAGGTCCCCAAAAACAAAATATAGAAAAGGACATGTGCGACACATGTTTTATGGGTCATTTTACTCATAGAATTCAATAGGCACACTCAATAAGTGATATGGACCACCTCTGGATGAATTTCAAGTCGAGGTCAGGTCAAGGTCAGGTCAAGTGAGGTCAAATTTTGAAGTTGGTTGTTAAGGCCTAAAAAGGTGTCTATCTGATGCAGTTTTTCATGGCAAATCGAATGGTGCTATTTTTGTTTCCGTACGAGGTCTAGAACTTCCAAAAAAATCATTTTTCAAAATTTTTGTATGTCGTGACGTCATAAAATTTTGAATAACTCCCACATTTTTGAACCGATTCTTCTAAAAATTGGTATGTAGGTGCACATAGACCACTTCTCTGACATATATTCCGGTTTCTTCGATACACTCAAAATTTTGGATTTTATAATTATTTTCCCAAAAAAGTCAGTTTTTTGAAAAAATTTGGGCCAAAATCCAAAATTTTCAAAAAACCGAGATAGCCATTTGATAGACAAAGTAGAATCACGTATAACCTTTTTGTTACGTCTTGATTCCTTTAAAAATGAAGATTTTAGCGGCGTTTGAAATTTTGCAGTTTTTGAGGCGAAAATGGCGAACATGACGTCACTAAAACATCAATATCTCAAAAATTTTCCGACGGATTTCGCTCAAATTTTCAGGGAACGTGTCAAATTGATGTATGATAAGGTACTGAAAGTTTGACGTTGCTGGCGTAACGCGTTTAGAAGTTATTGGCGAAAAACGGGAGGGGGGGGGGGCAGATTCTGCCCCCCCCCCCCCAGCTGGTTAAAATTCCTGAACAGAAATTCCCTGCAATTTCACCGTTAGTGTGAGCTGACCTTTCAAATGCAGTCAGAAGTCCAGTACTCCGAGCAAAAGTGCCGACTGACCTGCTGGAGGACGAAGCGCAGCAGCCCCATCTGAGAACACCGACTGAAAACAATGCCCCGAGGTGGATTCCCATTTTGCATAAAATGTTTTGGCAGCTCTGCGGGGTTCGGTGGTGCTATAATGAACACGCTGGTCGGTGCTTGTACTTTTTAAGACTGCAGTTGAATTTCCATTACAAACTTAAAGTCAATTTTAAATGAGCTGCGCACGATGCATTAAGCGTGGATTGGAGTTATGCGAAAATTTGTTGAACTAGATGCTGGTAATGATGCTTCTGAACCCTAAACTACGACATCCTTGTCGTCATTAGAATAATAAGTTGCTGGCAACATTGACATTGAGCCAAAGAACTGCACGATTCAGATTCCCTCAGCAGCCAAAGCTAAATTTTCTTGAAGCTACGTGGGGCTTTGCTGGAGTGAACTGTTGTCCGCTCCGGATAGGTGTATTTGGTGACCAGGACCTTATTTGCTGTATCGTCGCCCACGTGCACCACCAGTCTCTACCAAGTGCGTGCATGCATGTTTGCGTCGTATGAGTTTTGTGACCCGATATAGCATGTGTGCGGCGTAATTCCATCAATAGGTGCTTGAATTAAGTCTCCTTAACCGGTCTACCTCAGTGGTAACTGGTAAGTCAGGTCAGGTCCAGTGTAACTCCTTGTGCGTGGTAAGCTCCGTAGTTCTACACGCTGCGGTAAGTCTCGGCGTGCCGTGGGGCCCACCGTTCTATGACGTCAGGTTGTGGGAGCGGCGCCACCGGCCACCGCGCTGTATGAATGGGCTGCCGTGGCCGGCGTGTGCCATGGCTCCCGTTTGTATTGTGTAGACACAATGTCCGATCCCACGGTTCTCAGGCGTCAGGCTCAATGGTCGGTAATGGCGACCTATTGTCGCCTTATTGCGGCTTCTTTGCATGTTTTTTTTTGCGTTAATGTATGTGTGTAGGAACGCAATGCTCGCGCGCGCTGGTGTGTCGTGTGAAATGTATTGTGTCATGCACTTTGTGCAAGAACGGTTCCAGACAGTAGGCAAACTGCGATCGTCGATCAATGAACGAACGCACATACAAATGCTTTTCCTCAATATTTTGGTTATCAAATGAGACTTACGGTTTTGCTCTGAAAATTCGGGACTGGGACCACCGAGCTCTGGCTGTACGGAAACAGGTAACGTATTTGTACGATCGAACATTCTGTCAGAGAAAAGGAAAACAAACCAAACGCTTAGTTGGTATCTTATACGTACCAATATTTTTCTTATAAAATGTTAGGTAAGCACCCGTACTTTCTTTGAACAGCATTGCTGCTCTCTCTCTCTCCCTCTCTCTCTCTCTCTCTCTCTCTCTCTCTCTCTCTCTCTCTCTCTCTCTCTCTCTCTCTCTCTCTCTCTCTCTCTCCTTAACTGCTGACTTTTCAAGTTTGAATGAGCCACAGCCCATAGCGGACTCGGATCGACAAACATGCCTCTCGGGGCCATTATTCTTTGCTGATCTATGGTGGCAGCATTCAGAGTCGGCAGACGTTAATTGGATCGTTAATAATTGTAAACACTAGCTCATCAACGACGGGCTATCGCTTTCATTTTAATTGGGGACCAATATGTTGCATAAATTGCATATCATTTATCGTTACGTATGGATCTAGTCACGCGCCATAGATAAGGCACGGACTAGAAATCTAAAACAGAGTATAAACTGCCATTCCTCTGCAAATGTCGTCCTACATTGTGCTTGCACAATGCACCTTGAAGCTCTTGCGACATGTAGCACGCTCGTATTCAGTTACGTGTTATCTTGCCGATGGTCTACAGTGTCCTGGAACCAGGGTTGTGCTTGACTCATGAGTCGAGTCAGAAATTTGACTCAACTCTGACTCAAATGAGTCAGATTTGAGTCGAGTCGGATACAATGTTGAGCTGTTGAGTTGAGTCAGAGTTGATTCGGACAAAAATATTAAGGCGTTGAGTTGAGTCAGAGTTGAGTCAGTAAAATAACTTTTGACATTGGGTTGAGTCAAACATTTAGGAACATGAGTCAGCTGACTCAACTTTCCAGAAACTATATATATAAGCTTTTAATCCCCCCTCGCTTAACAACTTAGCCATGGCTCTGCTGCCGGATTTTTTTTTCACCCCCCCCCCCGCTCAACAACTTTTTTATCTGAGTCAATTTTGAGTCAAGTAACTTGACTCAGAAAAAAATTTGAGTCAAGTTTGAGTCGACTCATATTTTTATCGAGCCACTTGAGTCATTAGTCGAGTCAAGGGAAAAAATCAGCTCCTTGTTTGAGTCAGGGTTGAGTCAGGGCTTTCTGAAGTTGAATGATGAGTCGAGTCGGCAAATTTTTTTGAGTCGAGCACAACCCTGCCTGGAACAGTAGTTTGGGGATAAAACCGGCACATACCAAGGCTTAAAACCGTACTGAGAAGTGTCAAGTGTCGAGAACACACACAACATAACACACTCAAGAGAAGACACTCGCAAACATAAATAGCGACACGAAGAGCTAATGAAGCCTAATTTGGCACCACCCGGTCACCCTCCACTCAATGTCTCCTCATCTAAACCCGAAGATCAGCCGTTACCTCTTGCGCCGCCGTCGGCACCGTTTTCGGAGTCGGCGAGAGGCGGCCGGCCGGCGCGGCGCCCGTGGCTATTGATTTCGGCAGGGCCCGCGCCGGACGTGTTATCAGATGCTGACGCCGCCACGCGCCGGGCCCCAGCAGACGGCGCGATGTCGCCCAGATTGGTGTGCGTCACGTGGCCTGCTCAGCGGTAGACGTGCCGTCTGATGGAGTGGTCACGTGATCTGATGGGAGAGTCACGTGGTGGGGAAGGGTAGCACAGAGCGGTCTCGTGATCTGATTCAGCCACTTAGCTCGCTCTCTCTGGGACGGGATCTTCCGCGGGTCTCTGGCTCCGATTGGCAACAGGCTTTCCAAGAGACCAGCCTTAGCCGACTAGTCACACCGATTGGTGACAGGCTTTCCTAGAGACCAGCTTTAGCCGACCAGCCATACCGCGAACCGCGTGGTCAGGAGTGGACCCAAGGGGTCTAGAGGACCAAGCCCAAAGGACAGATTGCACCAACGTTAGATCGGCCCAGGGTTCCACGGAAGCGGTCTTCAGGCCTCTGGACGTCGTTGCGTTCCAGCCGTGCGTCAAACTTTCAGCCAATTTGTCCACCTGATGCGTCCTGAATAGTTGAAAATTCTTTGAACAGACACCCTGCACTAGCTGGTAAAACATTGACGCAAAATTTAAGGCACGTTTCGCGCAGGGAAATATCGTAATGCGTTTGCAGTCCAAGCAACCAGATTACCTCGCTGATGGCAAGCCACCCATTTGACGTTTTACGAAGGCCAGACACACACGTGTGGCAAAACGCCCCATAGTCAAGGCACTGTCGACTGCCGAACCCTGGCTCGTAGAAAGCATGTGCCTGTTTTATGTAATTGCAAGTGCAGCGTAACAACTACCTACGGCTGGGCAGATGAAATGATTTTGCTACAGATCAATTTTGATTGAGTATACATATACCTCTGGGTCAAGCCATGGTTTTGACCACCGATCGCTTACAATTTCACTGTCATGATAAGCACAGGAGATAATATTATCAGCATGAAGTGACAATGACGCACAGTAAGGAGAACTTCTTTTAGCTACGATCCACATTGGCAACCAACTTTTCACCCAGGTTTAAGAAAAAAAAACAATGTCCCATCGCCTGCCACCGCCGACCCGTTTCGTTAGTTTTTCGTCCTACACATCTGTTGACACACTGCAGAGTGTGTCTCCATTCGGGAGCAGTCTGCGTGGACAGCAGGCGACCTGCAGGGAATGACCGATGGCCCTGTCAGCCGGTCCCCGCGGGTCCTCGGCGCTCCTATTGATCACGTAACGCTTGGTTCGGAAAGAAAACAGCTCGGGACGGGGTGGAGAGACGCTCTAACCAGACGGACTTTTGCACGCAGCGGTGGGACCGTTATTATCGTTCGTCATACAATGTGGTTTGATTGCCGGGACGACACGCCTTTGACAACGAGGACTTGTTGATGGAAAAAGTGACTAAAGACGTGATTTAGTTTCATTCTGGGCTCGAACTGAAGTTCATCACGACATAGAGTGAGATGAATGCGAATGCACTTCCTCACGACGAAAAAACATGCTGCAGATGACTACCTTACCAAGTTCAGAGGAAACGTTGCTCCCGGAGTTCTCTATTTTTGGTAGCCATTTGGCTGATAACTAAGCCTAAATGTGATTAATTACACTTGCAACATGTCTTTTACTATCCAAACTCTACTTCTCCATCATTATTTTCCTGACTGAACTCAAAATTCCAGGTTCAGGGCATGCTATTATCACCACCGCATTAGTTTTATGTATTTTTTTTCGATTGTCATAGTCTCATTAGGCTCCTGGCATGTCATGAGACCATTATCATCCACATATGGCAGAAAATGTTCTGCAAGTACAGACCTGCTCTCCCAATATCCAGATCTCCCCGATATCGATGCCGGAAATGCGCTTTCCCTGTCTTGTTCCTTTGTTTGTGAGATTGCCCCTCTAGGATGATTCTTGCGATATTTTTACGGAACCATGACCAGTGACCGCCATTACTGCCGTCATTGTCTGTATGCCATGACTGACTGCGTATACGTGAATTAAAAGTAAAATGAATAGTTACTTCTTTATCATGTCTTTGTATAGCGATTTCATGGATTGCCTTGGACGGTAGATGCTTCTCAGGCTTCTGTCAGTTATCGTTTTGTCGTCTCGACGCATTTTATCTCCATTACCCTCCAATGACAAAGGCCACAGTCGAACCAATGATGCAACGACAAGGAAAGCAGCATGAACGATATGTTAAATAAACCTGGCATTACCGCACCATGGACGTCTTCAATGACAGTTAATATGCATTTTTGATTCGTTTTATTGACCATGCTGCCAAGTATGAGCACTGAACAGCACGGTTCTCTCCGATGAATACGGCTAATGAGATTCTTCATTTATTCATTCATTCATTCATTCATTCATTCATTCATTCATTCATTCATTCATTCATTCATTCATTCATTCATTCATTCATTCGTGTGGGGTGTGTAATTCTTTGTCCATGCAGTCAGAACAGAATGGCTTATGGGATGCATCTTTTCCAGCTCTCTTGGACTGCGCCTGTTCACATTATGGATACAGTCTCATTTCTTTCAATAATTATCCTGAAACGCTCAGTCGCTGGTAGTCGTCGGTGCTGAGCTCAAAATAGGTACTAGTGCGAATAAGTACGTCTAAATGTGTTCAACTTCAAGCTACTTGCGGCAACATGGGCATTAGAAATATCGCACGATATAGTTAGATTGAGCAGACGTGGGCGTAGGTATGCGATTAAAATGAAATCTGTTTTAGAATCTATTGAACTGAAATTGGAATGAAAGTTGTCTCGGTATGTCAACGACTCACTGGAAATTGGAGCTGATTTTATCACTATTAGACACGAATACATCCTGAATAGTGTACACACTACACAGTAATCACATGCACACAGCATACACTACACATTACACAGTACATTGCACAATGCACAGGTGTCACACCACTCTGTGGTGCCCAAGAGCCAAAGATATATGTCTCAATTTAAATCGGTTGAATTATTAACAGTACCTATTCTGTTCCTTTTACCTTCTTCAGTCGAATCAAAGAAGGTAGAAAAACCATAAATGTTGCAATAGAAGTCCATATTTTAATGCATGTATTATTTCGTTCATATTTTACGACTCCCATCAGTGTGTATCAAACTGTAATCTGTCCGTCCATTACCATTCACCAGTCATTCAATATGTGTTTGTTTCCTGCTGCACTCGCAGGGCAGTCTGCTCGTCGACAGATTGAGGCCTGTCCATCCATGGCCATTCATTCGCCAATCGTTTGTGTTTGTTGCAGCTCCATTTGCCGGGCAGTCTATCGACACCATTCACCAGCCATTTATTTGTGTTGCAGGTGCACTCGCCGTGCAGTCTGTTCGTCACCATTCACCAGTCATTTATTTGTGTTTGTTCCAGCTGCACTCTCCGGGCAGTCTGTTCGTTACCATTCACCAGTCATTTATTTGTGTTCCAGCTGCACTCGCCGGGCAGTCTGTTCGTCACCATTCACCAGTCATTTATTTGTGTTGCAGCTGCACTCGCCGGGCAGTCTGTTCGTCACCATTCACCAGTCATTCATTATGTTTGTTCCAGCTGCACTCTCCGGGCAGTCTGTTCGTCGACGACCGTCACCAGGTGCTGGTGCAGCTCGAGTGGCTGGAGACGGTGCTGCTCTTCCAGTCGACCTACCACAAGTACGACGACATTAGCAGGGTACACAACTTCCAGATGAGGTGAGCGATAAAATTGCCGGCTCAAGGCCTTCACACGCCCAGCTCGCGTCGATAGAGTAGATACAGAACTAGCCACTAACCAAAGGAATTTCTCGAAATGCGCTTGTGATGTCGATCCAGAATGTGTTGCGTAAGCTTTCGCGAATATTTTTCCTCCACCAGCCCCTCTTCTTCATAAACTTGTTTTTGCTAAGTTGCTGCCTTTGATGAGTTATAAATATATTTATAATCGTGATCAGGGCTGCGGAGTCGGAGTCGGAGTCGGAATCGGAGTCGGAGTCGATTTTAGAAACCCGAGCCGGAGTCGGAGTCGGAGTCACCGAAAATCTGTCGACTCCGCAGCCCTGCTAGGTCTGCGGAGTCGGAGTCGGGAGATGGAGTCGGTCGGAGTCGACAATTCTGCCCGGAGTCGGAGTCGGAGTTGGAGCTGGTTTTTGAAAGCCGGAGTCGGAGTCGGAGTCGCCGAAAATCCATCGACTCCGCAGCCCTGGTCGTGATATATTCTAGTTTGACAAATGTCTGGAGTTTTAATAATTCGTAATACAAGTAGGTAGGCATGTGGGCGAAGTTATTTAACACGCGCAGTGGAAGGGGGGGGGGGGCGGATTTCGCCCACCCCTCCTGTTTTTCGCCAATAACTCGCGCCGCAAACATAATATTAATGTGAAATTTCGGCTACCTGTCTAGAATTGAATTGCGGATCTTCTCGTGCAAGAAATAAGAAAATCGGTTCACAACTTTTCTAGTAATAGCGATGTAAAGTCAAACATCCTGCCGCCGCGGCGGCGCGGCGGCGCGGCGGCCGGCGCTAGCCGTTACGCGCCGCCTGAATTGTAGACTGTGCCGGGGCGGGACGGTTCCGTCTTTACATCGCGCTCCTTACCGCTGATTATATTAGATTCACTTCAAATTCGGTGAGAAGACTGAAAAATGTACAGGCAATCATATGGTCAAAGAACTTTGAAAATCGGCCGGTGACAATTTGAGTTATGAGTGTGTAAACACAAAATTGTGATTGCCGCGTTTCCCGCGTCGGCTGATCCCGCTTCAGCCGGCGAACTCTTACCCTTAGCAGGCTTCTAACTGTCATATTTATTGTTGGATTATCTAGAAATTCACCATACATACTCAAAAATGTTTGTTCTTTCGTATAGTGAAAGAAAAAAGAAAATCGGCCGGTAACTTTTTGAGTTATCGGCGTGTAAACGCAAAAAAGTCGCTAATATGGCAGATTTGACCACATTTGACCTCATTTGACCTTGAAGATATTGACCTAGGGTCATGAAATTCACACACAACAGAGTTCCTCATGGCCCCCACCTACCCTCCGAATTTCGTCTTTCTAGCTCCAGTGGGAGCTGAGATCTTAGGGGGGGCGACATCCGCCCCCCCCTTCCACTGGGCGTAGTACTCGCAACCCTTCCACTGCGCGTGTTAAGTGTGGATTAAAGTTCTTGTGGATAAGTTTGTATGCACAATTGTCGCACCTTTCCACTGACGCTGAGCACCCTTCCCTCCTTCCCGCAGGCGAGAAATCAGCGCCCTGCAGGCGGAAAACTACAGCCTGGAGCGGCAGCTGTTCAGCTACCAGAAGTCGATCGCGTTCGCCAGCTCCCGGGGCACCTACTCGGACGAGTTGGTGTCACCCGACTCACACGCCCACTTCCCCGACACGGCTGAAGGAGCCGGCAGGAACGGCGTCGAGCACGCGCCGCACGGCTATGCCGAGCGCTGCTTTGACGACGGCGATTATAACGCCTGACGAACACTGGCGGCTGGTGACGGGGGTGGTGACGGGGGTGGGAGCGCCGTGCGATGGGACGCAGGACGCAGTGGACCCGGTGAAGGCAGGGTCGAGGGCAGAGCGAGTGAGATCAGAGGCACGGCAGTGGCCGACCGTGGCGCTGTCGGGTATGGTGTCGAGAGCGACCCCTCGCGATGGGCTCCGACGACGGGCGGCGGCGCCACCGGCGGTCGTGAGAGACAGACCTCACCGTACAGGGGTGGGGACGACAGGCAGGCTCTGTCAGTCGAACACGGTGCTATGGTGGACAGACTCAGTCCGAGGGCGGACCGGAGGGCATCGGAGCTGGACAGAGGACCGGGTGCCGACGGCCGACCTCTTCCGGTGGACAGTCGTCTCATGATGGCGGAGGATCCGTCTCTTCTGGTGGAGGGCTCTCCACTACAGGCGGATGGACGCTCTTATCAGCCAGACGGCCGTCTTCTACCGACAGACGGGCGTCTCTTACCAGGAGACGGTCGTCTCCCTCCGGCTGACGGTCGACTTCTGTCAACAAACGATCGTCTTCTACTGGTAGACGGTCGCGCCCAGCCCCTGGCTCGCCGTGGCACCGTGCATGCCCCGTCTGGCCATCGCACTGCCGGTGAAACATCTCCACACGGCCAGAGACTAGCCCGGGGCTCCTCTGCGGAGGTGACACCTCGCCTCAGGGCCGACCTGAGGGGCGTGTCACTTGAGGGGCGCAGTAGAGACGCCTGGTGGCGAGAGCCGTCACTACATCGGCTGCCGTAAGGCGAGGCGGTTATACCGGGGAGACTGTTGAGGGACTTGTTTCGTGCCCGTGCGGTGGAGCCATGAGATGCTGCCAGCGTAGGCATACTCGTGCGTGTTTTGGTGACCACCAGGAGGTAAATAAACTCCAACAAGCTCTCTGGACTCACACGTTTTCACATCAATCTATATGGTATTGAACTGGAACGTGCATCGAATACAGTTCAAGTGTGTGAGGATGTATCTGATGATCGTTTCGACGTGTCTAGAGATATCTTTCTTACTGAATGTAGAGTTGCAGTTTGACCAAGTGTTACGGATTTCCTGGTCGATTCCGCTTGCTGACGTGACAGAGTGCGTTTTGCTGTCTGCTAGTGAAGTGTAAATCACTGCTTGAATGAAACTATTGGGAGATGTTTGGCTTATGGATGATGACTGATGAGTGACTACGTTATGCCGATCTCGTGCGATTGATGGATATCAGTGTTGACAACGAAAGAATCTGTAAAAGGCTGGGTCTGGGTGTGACGAAATTTGGGCGCTTTATCTGTGTTCGATCTCATATAAATACGAAACTGTGAAACGTGTTAAATCTATTGTAGCCTATAATCCCATTGTGATCGTACATTCCGAATCGTCTCACCACTCAATGCTTGAGGTCTATGACAGCACTGGGCATTTTTGACTTAACGTGAACCTCGCATCGTAAATAAAGCGCATGCGGATGATATGCTGACTCGCTGTTTATAAATGAGGAGAGAATTTCTATATCCATTTCATTTTGAAGATTACTGGTTCACTGAACTTTTTTGTTGCGGTGAAGAAGTTATGTTCGCACGGCAAGTGAGCCTGTTTTTCGTTAGATATTTTAACTGTCTTGCGAAATATATATGCAAAAGCACGGACTAACAAAACATGAAGTACACAAAGCTACGAAAATACAACTACGGCAAAATCATAATTCATTATAGCCAATCGTCAATCGACAAGACGACTGACCGCATGGCCATTTTTAAAGGAATTTGACGTCCGAACTGGAAATTGAGTTGTCATTTGTCTCGCCAAACACATCAAGCACTGGATGTATGTACACAGTCTTCTTGAAACAAACCTTGGGTTGGCTTACCAGTTTTTGGGATTTCGCGGCTGAAATGCTGAGCTGCCTCCACAATAACTCGAACAAGTCGAGGAAACGTGCCATCTTGTACCTTGTGACGTTAAACGAAAGAAAAGGTACACAATAATTACAAAAGGTACATAACAAAGGTACATACATTACAATTATATGGAAGGACCGACCAAGACCCTTTAAGGCGAACTATGGTCACCGCTTAATTGGCTATTTTACAACGCGATATTATAATTTTGTTAAAGCTCATCTTTCCGCTATCTAGTAATCTAAAATTGAAAGCTATAGGGTATTACGCTCCTGCGTGAATGAGGTTAAGACAAGGCCCTTGCAAACGGAGCGTATTTTGACCATCATACTCGTACTTCGTCAGTATTTCGATAAAAAGGTACTTTCGTTTTTCCTGGAAGGTTGATAAAAACCGAGGGACCATCATGTCGTGAATAAGAGCTGGGACGCCTCACCTACCATTAGACGGCACGAGCCTTAGACGTATCTAGTCTTAAATTCCTTACAAACTGCGTCGTGGCCACAGCTAACTGACCAAATGAGGCGAGCCACAAACCATCATCATCGTTGCCTATCAGATGGTCTTCAGGAGTCTAGTTTGATTTTTTTTAATGCCAAGCCGACCCAAGGAAATAGAAAGGGAAAATCTTCAGAAGCGTGCCCGTCAAATCGATGCCCGATTCTACGAAACTTTTCTTTGCGTCTCACTGTTCATTCATGGATCTCAGGCCAGCTAAAGGCAAACAATTAATAGTGCTGCTATTTATCCCCCTAGCAGACCTCTCGGTCACTCCTGCTGTGTGATTAGTGATTGCTAACCGATCACGAAGGCGTGCGACTCTGCAGCGACGGCAGATGGCGCGTCGTTATGGTAACTGCGCCGGCGCCGACTCGGCTGGATCAATGCGCTGGGATCCTCGTGGTGCCGTGGCTCCTCCCGTACCAGGCACTCTGGGTTACACTCCTGACGGGCACCGCTGCCGCTGCTGCTGCTGTCGCTGCTGCTGCTGCTGCTGCTGCCGTCCTGTGCTGGGGAACGCAACTTCACATCTGCCGGTCCGTCTGTCCACCATTGAGGCCCCGAGCTGACCGTGAAGCATTTGGAGGCTGTTCGTTAACTTAGTCTGCCAAACGTAAGAAGTAACAGTAGTTAAGTGCCGTACAGTATAGCAGTATACAGGTGCGTTAGCCTTTACAGATAGCATATCTGTGTTAAACAATTAAAGGTTTGAGAGTTGAGTTCTCAGTCTCTGGCGTATATAGGGAGTCACGCATTCAGCTAGGTACGGCCCTCCAGGTATTTAGCGGTTGGTTGCCAACATCATAATAAGCGAGCTGCATTGATGAATACGTCTAATGGCTATTGAAAACCATTGCCGAAGTGTGTGCACGAACCCTCTTCTCATTTCTATTGAGTCATTTTACAGGAGTGTCTCTGTCATTCAAAGTTATTACACCAAAAGCACATAGGCTAACCAACCACTCTTTTGCTGGAGGGTCGTACGTGCATCAATAACTGCTGCGCTCTAAATCAGTCTAAATTCGGTTTCTCTCGGCTTGCCATGCAAGAGGGGTGTGCTTTTGACTGGTTTCTGACTACATATAGCTCAGCCGGAGGGAGGAAAACCTGCGTTTTTAAACATTTTTCATATAGGGAGTACCCGACCTCTAAGGCACGTTCGATACAGATGTCCAATGAAATAAAATCAACGTTAAAAAACAACTAAAAATCAAAGATGAAGAGAAGGGATCGGAACAGGTAGTGGAAAAGGTGGGGCTAGGTAGAGGCAGGTGCTAATTGGATTTTTTCTTAAAGGGACTTAATCAGTCGAGACGCCTCAAGCGTTCCATACAATTTTGTACCTATATCGTCAGTTTACGTATAGTAAAGAACGCCGATCATTAATATGATCATATATTTACAGCAGTTTGTGCTCTAACGTTCAAGAGAACAGACGGTGTCCCGAAGGTAAGCAGCTCATTTACGTAAATGTTCTTAGGTGAAGAGGCCGAAGTCCGAAGACAAGTAATCTTGTGTCGCCGTTTCTGTCTATGGTTACAAATACCTATCGCATACCTGATCTGTCTGTCCCTTTTCCCTTTTCATTTCAATCTCTCATCATCTCATGTCTTGAGATTCAAATCCAATGTTTCGACAATAATCAAATCACCTTGTTCCAGATATGAAGTGACTCTGGAACCTCCAGTTCCGGTGTATGCATGTACGCTGACGGCTTATATAATGACCACGGGGCACGGGGCACGAAATCACCGCCCAGCCCGCTACACATACGGCCATCGATTCCTCTCATACCGTTTGGGTTGATTAGCTGTCATGAGCTCAGTCAGAGTCGATCTACTGTTATGGCTTTGGACGGACTAATAATGTGCCTCCGGGGACAGATAGGGGCACGCTATCGACATAACCATACTCACCGGCAGAGAAGCATGCGTCGTAACTGCACGTAATTGCTTCATTACACATACACCGAGCGAATTAACCAAACCAATCACTTTACCCATTTGACCCATACGAGCGAAACTAGAAACTATAATCAGTTTCATTTGCGTACGTAAATGCTTGCTTACCCAGGCATGTTCGTTACATGCATCGCTTACCAGCATTGTTTCATCTCGTTTCAGCTGGTGCCACTGAACAAACGACTAACTGAAAATGAATGAAGACAATTAAACTCAAGCCAGGAGTCAGATGCGCAAGATGGATAATCGTAAGAAAAGTATGCATTAACTTATATCCAGTCACACTTCATTATTGCGCGTTTTTTTCTTTACGATGTTATATTTCTTATCAATGCGGTTTAAGTGTCGCCTGAAATGTGAATGATAGCACACGACCAGCTCAGTGATATGCTTTTTTTTTAGACGGAAAGTTGATTATTTTGAATTAGTTTGTTTTGAATTATTAGTTTCTCTCCTCAGTAGGTACAGCCCACCGCTAAAGTAATGTAGGGTTTTACCAATCTCAACGGTTGGCTTTGACTGGCGATTGTTTAATGCGGAGTGATCGAAAAGAAGATGTCAATAGCTAAAGTTGCAGCTGCAAGGGTAACGATACATATAAGCTACATTCAAAGTTTCATTGTAGTCTGGTTAATCGTTCCTAAGCTTCAGAAGCAGAACATACCCATGACTGAAACCGCACATTACTTCTGCTGTGGACTGTACCTATTTGAATAGAGGAGACCCAACTGTGCTTTCCTTTGGACGGTCGTCTAATTAAAGCGCACCATTGTAGACATCTGTCTGGTCCAAAAGCTGAATTATAACACCTAAATGCAACATCAGATATAGCACTTGAAAGCCAAGACTCGATTTGAGGGGCTTCATTCTTAGAAGACCATTGCTTTAGAATCCGTTTGACTCCACCCTATCGAATGTCGCCTGGCGCACCTGGCTCCCTAGCCCGGGAGACGGCCGACGCTGACCCTCTGTGCGGTCGCTGGCAGGATGCCGGCTCACGGCCTGTTGTTCAGTACTGGTGCGGCGCTATACGGTGATGGTGGTGCTGGTGCCGCTGCTGGTGCTGCTCTACTGGGTCCACTCTGTCGAGCACTCCTGGAGTCTGCGGCTGCTGGCCACACTGCCGTCCCATCTGAGCCGAGCTGCGCCCGTCCAGTCCCGTGACAACCTTAACAAAGGTAACGTAGCTCCCGCGTGGTAAGAAGCAGCCGTCCTCTCCGCATCAAATCACATTACAATTACAGTAATTGCTTGATGTTTACATTCATTGAGTTCTACTACATGCAATAGGATATAAAAGGGCCGTTTCTTCATCTACGTTTCTACATTTTACCGATATCTTGTAAGCACTTCAGATCCTTTTGTACTGAGTGACATTCTGCGGGCTTCTGTCGATAAGTACGGCTTCTGCCGACTGTTCCGAGAGCTCTAGCCGGTCGACCTCTGACAGCCTCTTGACCTTGCCCAACTCCTGCAGAGGACATCGGCCAGTTCCTGGTAGACACGCCCTCCTGTCGAATACCCAACGCCGACGCCTTCGACGCCGCGCTTCGTCCGTTCATAAACCCGCCAGAGCCGCTGGATTGTCGGAACGGGCCTCCGCCGCTCACCTACAGTGACCTGGACTCTGTGCACCTGATTACAGAGAGGCTGCACCTGTATGGGGACAGGTCGGTAAAACCAGAGAGCCTCATGTGAGCTACTTGATGTGATAAAGTGCCAGGGGTTAAAGTTTGATTAAAGTGTGATCACTTGACATGACTTGATGAGATAAACATAGTTAGCTGGCCTGGGGCTATGTCTTCATACATTCGGCTAGGAAAGTCTGAAATGTATAACTGAATGCCAATGCTGATAATGCAAACTTGCATACACATATGCATAGACTGTAATGTAGGCATGCAACATGTGGTCAACGCTTTCCCGATCTTTTGCAGCCCGCCTGAAGTTATCATCAGCTGCTGTACTCACGATATCAGCTGGTTCAACAGCTCCGTAGGTGTCCCGCCTGATCTGATGTCATCCGGAGAACAGAACATTTAGTAAGTGTTACGGATAGCTACTATGCATTTCAGACCCCATGAGACCCTGTTTTTCGGCGATAATTTATTTAATATTTATCCAATTGGCTTCAAATTTTAGCAAAGCACATTTCAGCTCAAGCGCCAATTTTCGCTAATATGGTCTCTTAACAAAATATCAATTGTTAGGGTACTTGTCGTTGCCTCGTAATGTTAAAATCAGCTCCGTAAATCCGTCAGTGGAGTAGAGGCTATCCGAACGCAGGCGTGACGTCACAGGCACGTGACCATTAAGCTCCGCCCTCCCGGCGGACGAAGCGGTGACCTTGGCCGGTCAGTCGGATGCGTGAAGCCGACGGGACAGTAGCCGCCGCACCCAAGGCCGCATGCCGGACCGGGGCGGGTTGCCGTTGCAGTACTAACGATACAGCAGCAGAAACTAGCGCTCGTAATTAGCGCACTAGCCTTCGTTATTGCATTTATCGCAAATTAGCCTACACCATGTCAATCAAATGAATAAAGATATACGTAAGTTACAAGTTCAGTAAGCTCAGGACTAGTGGCCGCATTTTTGCTTTATTGAACGTCATTAAAAGCCGTTGATGTCAATTGACTGTAAACTGATGCAAGACGTCGGTCAGCTGTCAAATTTGCAAGACATGATTAACAGTTACACCGTAGCATTTAAGAAATGTGGTTGCAATATGAAATATATTATGCTTATGCGTACGCTTGAGATGGATTCATGTGATTGCGGTGCAACATGAACACCTTCAGAACTAAACCATTTTATAATTGGCTAGATTGAGGTCACCGGACTGACTTGACCCCAGGCTTTCGTGTTGAACTGCAAATAATTAAAATACCTGTAAGTAGCCTACTGCCTCATTATTGGAGGGCTTGAAAAGTTACTTAAGTTTCACAAAAAGACGCGATTTCTTTACTATAGCCTATGCGCTTGTTTCCCTTATTCTGATGTCACATTTCTCCGGCACAATAAATCGCACATCGCATTTCTGCTCCCTTCTCAACGCTTCCCAAATTACAAACAAAGCTCGTGGAGCGATGTCTTAGGCAATCGGAAGTGCTCGTGACTCATCATCCTTCTCTGTTGTTTTCTGCATAGGTATAACAGCTTCTTCAGAAACAGCGAATGACGCAGCCAACCATATCGATATTTTCGAGTAGTGCAGAGGCTTCGCATGTCATAGGTGACAGAACAGTGGCACGACCTGACCATGAGATAAGCGCCAGAATGTGCATTCATTCAGATATTCAGATAGTGCATGACTCAGCTCTCTATTTAAGGTTGGTTCTGGGGAGGTTGATATCCTCATTATGTTTATCCTTCATATTCTGAGCTGGATCGGTGTTGATATACCAAAAAGAGAGAAGCGGTTACCAACTCCCCCAAATGAAGAGCAATCTTTCTCTCAGACACTTCCTGTCGATTCCATGAATGTTTCCAGCGCGCGGCCCCCGTACGACCTCCCCGCGGTGCTGCCGCCGACTGAGCCGGCATAGACCCAGCGCGGTCACGGCCAGTGGGCGGAGTTTAGTTGGGCCCGGCGCAACGTGATTGGCCAGCGCTCCCATCCAATCCGCTGCGGTAGCGAACGAGCCTCTATCCGGGTGCAAAATCTGATTAGCATTACGAGCCTATGACAAGTGCTCTAAATATTGATATTTTGTTAAGAGACCATATTGATGAAAATTGGCGCTTGAGCTGAAATGTCTAATGTCAAAATTTCAAGCAGACAAAAACTGCTTTAGACAAATTAGACAAAAATTAGACAAAATTACAAATTACAAATTAGACAAAAACTGAAGAAATTATCGCCGAAAAACAGGGTCTCATGGGGTCTGAAATACATAGTAGTTATGCTCGTTATGCTCGCATGCCATGCAAATTGCACAGTAATGCACCGGAACATTGACAAGAAGTGGCGTAATTTTCAGCCAAGTCCACTACCCCGCTAGCCCTCGGTGCCAGCCTTGTGCCAGCTTTGTTTTGGACAGACGTTGTTTCTGACTGCGACCCGTTTTAGATGTAACCTCTTCGTCTTCATTCACCTGTGGTCGATTGCTGTCTTTGTTACTCTCCCTGCGTTCCGTTTGCAGTCTCTTGGCCGAGTGTCGTGTTAAACTGGCCCCGTTTCCGTTCGGATTCTCTCTGACAAGTGTCACCCCCATTCCTCTTGCATTCTCATTGTCCAGTACCGTTGTAAGCTGACTCCGATTTTCGCTTGCATTCCCTCGACCAAGTACCTTCCTGAACTGACTCTAACATTCTTTTGCAGCCTTTCGGCCCAGTGCCGTCCTCTCACGGACCGATATACGCCAGAGACTTCAGGCGGCGTCGAAGTGCTCTGCTCGAAGAACGGCACCTTGATCTACCGCAACTACCACCAGTTTGTGCCGCTGCTGCCAGACCTGGAGGCCGTCAGCCTTCAGCGGCCGGCTCATGCCGTGATGCCAAGTGTGCTCATCTTCATGTTCGACTCTCTATCACGCCTGCAGTTTCACCGCTGGTTCCCACGTTCCCGACGGTTACTGTATGATGAAATGGACGCATTTGAGCTGGGAGGACTGAACAAGCACGGCGACAACACGTGGCCCAACATGCTGCAGATGCTGACCGGCATGGGTCAGGCAGAGCTGGAGGCATTGTGTGCACCCAACCCCCGCAATGACCCACTCGATAACTGTCCGTTTATATGGCGTGAGTTTAAGCGCGCTGGGTACCGCACGGCGATGGCTGAGGACTGCCCAGATATAGGAATGTTTGACTACATGAAGGCAGGATTCATACACCAGCCCACCGATTACTACAACCGTCCTGCAGCTCTGATGGCCTTTAGATACATAGCACACAACGTTGTACTGAATACGCACCTGTGTGATGGCACCAGGCCAAGCTACGAGTCTACGTTCACGTTTGCCGAGCACCTGGCGACACGTCTGGCTGACCGTCCTTACTGGGGCTACGTGGTGCAGAACGCCTTCTCTCACGACTACTTCAACATGCCCTACCACTTGGACGAGCCCTTCTACCGGCTGCTGAAGCTGCTGCTGTCCACCGGTGCGCTGGAAAACACGGTGCTAGTGACGATGGGGGACCACGGGCTGCGCTGGGGCGCGGAGCGGGAAACGTTCGTCGGGGGCCTGGAAGAGCGGCTGCCTCTAGTTAGCCTCTACTTCCCTCCGTGGCTGCGGCGACGCTACCCGGTGGCGTTCGCCAACCTGCGTACCAACCAGAGACGGCTGACCACGTTCAGAGACCTGCACCGGACGATGCTGGACCTCCTCACGCCGGAAGTCTCACTGGGCGGCGTCGGCACGGAACCGGCACCCGCCAACGAGTCCGCGGTCAGCCTGTTTCGGCCCATCTCTGTGGACCGGCACTGCGATCATGTGTTTGTGCCACAGCACTACTGCACCTGCCTGGAGTCGCAGCAGATCTCGGCCAAGGACGAAGCCGCGCTTCACGCCGCTCACACTGTGGTAAGGACTGTGAACGCTGAGCTGCGTGAGGCAGCGCAATGCGCGCAGCTTGAGCTGGCGCAAGTGCTAAGTGCGCGCATCTCGTGGCCACCCAACGCTGACTTGGCTAATGGCGTCAACGCGCTTGAACAGCTGGTCACCGTACAGATCGAGACGCGGCCGGGCGACGCACGCTTCGAGGCTACAGTGCTTGGGAATCGCTCTGAGTTGGTGCTGGGTGGAGCTGTTTCGCGGCTGAACAGCTACGGACAACTGAGGCGCTGTGTGGCTGACCATCGCCTGGAAAAGTTTTGTTATTGCCGTGATGACACGACTGCCGCGAGCGCGACGGCCGCGGCTGGTGGCACCCGGCCTTCAGCCACCGGAACGCCATAACGCGATGGTTGAACAACCACAGCCAGAAGTGCCGCAGAGGAACGCTGTGCCATGTTAAGTAAAAGTGTGTTTGTGCAGTGACTTCCAGTAGGCCTTCCAGCGTGAGAGACCAACTACCTTACCCGAGGTTTGAGATGCTTGACCTGGGATCCCTCCAGTCTGGAATATGGTTGACCTGAAAAAAAAAATGGAGGGAGTCTGTCTGAGAGACAGCTGACTGAGATCCTTCCAGTGTGAGAGTTGATTGAGCTGAGACTCTCTCAGGCTGATAGTCAGCTGGGTTGAGGTACTCCGAACTTCCAGCCATGGCTCTGAAGGACAGACAGCCTTAGGTGCTTCCAGTCCTAGAGTCGACGGACTTGAGGCTGTTCCAGTCTGACGAATAGCTGACTTGAAGTCCTCCAGTCTATGAGACATATCTGCGAGGCGGTCTCTCTGATGAGCTCTTCAGTACGAGAGCTGCCTCGATGAATGCGGGTTCTGTGTGATCCAGTGGTCATGTAATAAGTGTGTTTTGACTGGACGTGGTACATGTGATAATATGGCTGTTTAGAGACGATGCTTACTGTCACATATCATTGTGTTCAGCATAGGCTGCTCGTTGTTTTACAACGCTTGGCAAAAGGAAGTCGGTGTGTGATATGAATGAGAAGATAAATGTGAATCCATGCCATATGAGTTTCAGCATGACTTATGATAAGTCACCTTTTGCACGTTTTGCACGTCTTCCCTGATGCAAAGACACTGTTGGCAAGGATTAATGAGTCTAAGGCACTTGCGCAAATGTCTACAGGTTTTCGGAGTTTATCGCACGGCATATAATACAATAAATATGAGACTGTTAACCCTCGCACGACCAGGCCATTTCTCATAACACGAACGACCAGGGGGGGGGGGTTGTTACGACCCCCCCCTTGGCGTTTCGAAACGGAAGGTCGTAGAGCTTAGCGGAAAAAACCAACGGATTGCTCTCAACGAGATCTCGCGATTGGTGGTATATTTTTTGGTCCTAGGTCAACATTTGACCTACTTTTGACCGGTCAAAGGTCAAATTTTCGGAAAAATAGACTTTTTTCAACTTTCAGCGACGATTGCGGCAAAACGGTGGGAAATATCGACTTGAAACCTTCACTATCGTGTTCCTTGATCAATTCTCTATCGTTTGGTATGTATTTCGTTTCCCTAGCTCTAAAAATGGCGCGTTGGGAGCGCCGGAAGTCGGCAAGGTCACAGTCGGCGGCAGAAATTCGAAAAATCAAAATTTAAATTTTTGAAATCTGATTGTATTTTTGGATTTGGGAGGTCCATTTGCTCCCTATAGAAGCTAATATTGCTGCATATTCCCATTGAGGTGACAAGAATTAGCAAAATAGTGGTTCGGGCGCTTTTCAAAAATAGTACCGGACGCTGTTCCTCTTGTGACGTCATAGCTCCGTGACCTGACCTGACCCGGTCAAATTTCTTATACCATATGATAGCCAATACTTGCCCCAACATGCATGGGAAGTTTCATCACGATCCATCAACCGATGTCCGTACCACCGGCAGGAAACCTCGGGCGTTGGCACTCAGTTTGTGAAAATCCGGCCGGAGGCTGTACCTCTTATGACGTCATAACTCCGTGACCTGACATGACCCGATCAATTTTTTTCGGCAAAAGATGCGCAAAGGTTGCCCCAGAGGGTATGGAAAATTTCAGCCCGCTACGACAAGCCGTTTAGCGTGCACTTCGAAAAAACCTCAGTGGGGGGGGGGGGTTGATACAACCCCCCCCCCCCTAGGCGTTCTAGGGTTAAGAGTACACGCATAATACACATGTCCGGAAGACTGTGATGTTTGAATTTTTATTACAAACTCAGCGCCGAATGCAATGTGAATGCAATGTGAATGCAATGTGCAATGTGATATGCAATGTGACCCTCGCCTCGTTGGGGGTCCGGATTTCCACGCCCGGCGGGGGGAGAAGGGTTCAACACCCCCCTTCTAACTGGGCTCTTGGGCCACGTAGCAATACTGGGTAGGCGGTCTTCGAAAGAGCGTCAATAACAATGCCGAAATTATTTTGGTCACTTTTGGTTAGGTCAAAAGTCAGGTTATCATGAGCCGTCACTGAAGGCCTATTTTCGCCGATTTACAGCTCGAATGACAACAATTTTCAACAAGCCGGTGCATAACTCAGAAACTCATAGAGCTACAGCGCCTCGGAAGAGCGCATTTGATAGCCTTACTGACCTCTTTCTGAGTCTTTCTGAATATTTCTCCCAGATTTGACCGAGCGTCAAAGGTTTTTCCTGCAGGGGGCAAACACTGCCAAAATAGTCGTTGTAACTGAAACAGTTTTTCTGCAATAACTTTTGACTCAAACCTTGCACGAGTTTACCTTTGATGGCATCGTGTTCCTCTCGTTAAGACGCATCGAATGAACTATAATTTGACCTTGATAGTAGACTTCAAAATTTGACCTCAGTTCAAGGTCATGACCTGACCGGAAAGAGTCATGTTGTACCTACATCAGTCGATCCGTATCGTCGAGCTGATCACATCTAATGCGTCTTCATCTCTCTAGCATGCCTCCATCAAAAGTTATTCGCTATATGTAAACTGTTGGATACCTTAGTGATCTAAGGTGGCCTTAGGGGCATAAGCAGAGGGCACCGGTGTTATTTTCCAGTTTAGTGCGTCATAGTTACTTGTAATTCAATGTTTTGGGTGTTTAGAATTGCGTCATCCAAAGAGGCACCTTTCAATTATCTCCCATGGACTTATATGCAATGGGGAGGTCGCAAAATTGACCTGACCTTTGGTCACCGATACACAAATCCCGAGGTATACATTTTGTACATGTTGTTGCATTTATCAATCGCGGAAATTCTTAAAGCGATCAGTTTATATACTTGGCGTAGCTATGCCAGACATTGAAACTTTTTAGAAGGTGATGTCATTTGAAGTGACCTCTGAAATTTGAAGTGACGTCTGAAATTTTCACAAATTTTCACACAAAGTTTCACATGCACATTTTCTTTAAATGTATGATAAGTTGTGCCAAAAAAAAAAAAAACGGCGGCGAAATTAATCATTTCAAGAAATAATTAACCCGATTCAGCTATTTTCAAAGTTAAACCTCGCCCGTCCTCTCGGTTTTTCGCTGATAACTCATGTAAAAAGCGGCCGATCGCGACGAAACTTCCGGTATCTACTCTTAGATTATTCAATTCTACAAGTACCCTGAACATTTCATGACCCTGACCCAAATGACCTTTGACATGTCACCTATTTCTCGAGACCATGCTTGGCTGGAATCGCGATTCAGCGTATGTCAGTTCACATTATCGGCGCCTTTCCAGTCTTTTTGTGATTATGAGCGTCTAAACACGTGAAATGATGTTCGTCCCACGCAGTCCGGTGGGTGTCAAGGTCACCTGAAGGTCAGGTCGGGTTATTGACCTTTGATGACCTCGGTTCGCTTTTTAGTTTTACATGTTTCTAAGCTAGTTTTTGTAGCTGATTTCGAATTCAGCAACCATTTGAACATTTACGAAGTAGTTTTGATGCCTTCGTAACATGTTACGAAGCTCTCAGAGGCGGTTGACACCTACCTACTACGAATACCCGGCAGGAGCCCTACTGGTTGACCTGACCTGACCTGACCCGACCTGGCCTAAATGTATGAAGACATCAGCTGTGATCAAAACTAGCATGCTATTCGTGATCAGTAGTACCCCGAAAACCCCCATAGCAGCCACACTTTACGACAATTCTAACAGATCTCGATTTTCCTGACTTTTGGGTCATTGACCTGACCTGGAAGGTCAACCAGTGACCTAGAACATTAAATTGGGACGGGTATCATCGGCTTCCTCTCGTCACGGGCAGCACGCTCGTTTTTTTCCCGCGAAGCACTAGCTCGATCAGGGGCCAAACGGCAAGGGGGGTCCAATCGCAACGGACCCCCCCCCCTTATATGTTCACAATCACGGCTAGCAAAACACCAATAGCCATCAGCAGTCATAAGAGGTCGGTCTAACAACCGGACAATATCACATCTGTAACGTCCGCGGTTTTCATAACACATGTTGGCAAACCGGTGGGTGATCTAATAAATAAATAGAGCTACAGCTCCCCTGCGTAGTAGCGAGGGAAGCGCCGCCGCCGCACGCGCTAGCAAGGCTGAACCCAGGTTCGCTATGACACCTGTTTGCTCTCAGTCCTGTCTGAAAGAGAGGGAATCACAGGCGGCGGGCGACGAGTGAAGAACGGTCCAACAAAAACATTAATTTTCCAAGTTTCGCTTATAGAAGTAAAACACCACTCGGAGCATACAGCACCAATGCAGTGCCACTGCAATAACCCTTCTCACCCACTCCGCCCGAAATAGAATCCTGAGATAAATCCATTAGTGCGCTTAACACGTCAATCTATTTTTCATTGACCCGGGACAGAGCCAAACCTGGGCCAGGCTGACTTCTCTCACTCGTTTGACGTTTGCTGACCAATGTCAGACATGCCAAAATAGGTAAAATGTTCTTATATTGGACCGTTGCGTGGGACAAACCTCAACCTGTAAGAATCTTTATCTGTTTCTGTAAGCTTTCTTGGGACCAACACCATTTCGCACGCTTGCACGTTTCTAATCACAAGTCTGGAAACACACGAATTATAGGTATGCACTCATTTACGCTGAATCGAATGCTGTCCTGATACCTATGGTTTTGGGAAACTGATCACAGGTCAAATTTCAAAGTCATACCTGGCTGGGTCAGGGTCATGAAGATTTCAGGGTGGTTATGCTTATTCTTGACGAACTAAACGAGGAATGGGCCATTATTCAGTACCTACAATCCGCAGTTTAGGTTTGTTTTGTTTATTTGCTTTGTAAGGAAAGGATAGGTCCTTTCGGTCTGAGACCCTTTCAGAGTCGAACGGATGATGAGAATTAGGGAGGTGATGCATTGTCTGGCCACTCTAGTGCGCCGCCGGGGCTGGGCCCGTCACATGGACATTATACAGCCCACCCGGCACCGCTAACGATCACCCAACCAGAAGATGGGCCAGCTCCGCCTCCTGCCTCCTGAGGAGCACCTAACGACAGGTGACCGTTCAACCCAACCCGGGTTACAGGGGTTGAGAGCCTGAGGCGTGGATGAGTAGGGTTTAGGTAGGGAAGGATTTAAAAATCCTGAGGATTTACAATGAAGGAACGGTGACATTTTAGGATTCTCCTTGTAATTTCAAGAATTCGACACGCATTGGAAAATCTCAAGCGTCAAAAAAATATCGTCCATGAAGGGCCAGGGCGACATCTATATTTAGAGTAGTTCCACATTGCTCCTATAGGTGTCAGCATTTTTCGTTCGTCCTTCCATACGGGAGGTCTTGGTCTTGGTCGTGGGTTAGGGCGCATAGCCTCATCGGGCTCAGAGCGTCCGTAGATGTCTTGTTGCCACTTTCATGTCTTCAGAGTTGGTAGGTAAGACAATGGAGTACTAAGCGTGGTAGTGGAACGGAAAGACAACAGCGTACCGGATAGAACCAGGATATAGTATTGAGGAATATTTCCAGGTAGGACAGTAGTTAATGTTAGTAGCGAACTATAAAATGGTTATGAACTTAGAGATAAAGAACTGAAAATGAAAGTAACATAAACGACCGGTATCTTTTATGCCTGGCTTTTTT